ACTGAAGGGAGCTCCCAGTTCTTCTGTTTTCATTTAAGCAGATGTCCTCATCATCCTGTGATGTGGTGGGTAAGTTTCATTTTACTGCCAGCTTATATATTATCTGTTTATGCCTCATGTTTTTGGTTTCCCTTGCTCTTATATGTAAGATCATTTTCATATTTGGTTACTCAATCAAGACAGCTAGAAAAGTTAAAACACACAAGATTTCAGGCTATCAACCAAAAATTAAAAAACTAGATAAGTTTTCAAGTTGGTTAATCAAATTTTCACATGTAATGATCCGCACCTTAGGTTACATATGAACAAGGAAGGTAATCTTCCTTGATGTGTATAGAAGGGAGGCATGCCATCAACTGCTGCTGCTGTTGTTTCTAGGCATTGCAATTGACACGTGTGCAGGGCCTGACTGGCTCTCCCGCGAGGGGTATTACGGGAAGTTTGTCACAATTACTGATCTCAATCATAGTGGCATCAGGGTCACGGAAGAAAAGCTGATCAACGTAGATTCCACCCTCCTCCACCCTGCGCTTCACGTACTCTATCTCCATCTCCTTCAAAATTTTCTCCACTGTGACTGTGACCATGCTCCTCTCACACTAAAAACAATTCAAATGTATTTCTAGTCATTTTCACATCACAAATATACTGTACACACGTATATATATATAAAAGCATACAAAAAATGAATAAAAGAGCTAGAGAGAGAGAGAGAGAGAGACCTGGAACGAAATGTGGTTATCCTTGGGGTTAATCTGGGTGATCTTCTTGGGCATTTTATCTGGGTCTTCGGATTGGAGAAGATGTAGGCGCCCAGACCCGGCCAGGCCGCCTAGAACCAGCCAGGCCGCCTAGAACCGCCCAGGCCGCCTAGAACCGCCCAGGCCGCCAAGGCGCCTCCTAGAACCGCCTAGAACCGCCTAAAACCTCCCAGGCCACCTATGCGCCTCCTAGAACCGCCCAGGCCACCTATGCGCCTCCTAGAACCGCCCAGGCGCCGCCTAACTCCCTTATAGCATCAGAGTTGTTATCTTAGTGGAGATTTCAATAGCTGAATGACATTTGATGGTTTTTGTAGAGAGAGTCCAATCCAATC